GGTGAATTACTATCTGCAGCTGCCGGAATCAAATTCGATCTCTTACCCGAAGGTGATATTATTCTCCTTCTCTGTTTATTTTTTTGACATATACATGTCGTCCCTAATCTAGATCTCTGTTGATGTACTTTCCAGGAGATAAAGACGCGGGAATTTATTCCATGTTAGTGGACATGTTCCAATGGGCACTGAAAAGTTCTTCAACAAGAAATTTGATTGTCCTCTCAAAAAACATGGATAATCCAGACGTGCTGAAACATTTTGACTCTTTGTGGAGGTGGAAATGTGGTCTTATATTATCACCAACATGGGTACCTGAAGTGTTGATGGAGGAAACCGCTCACAACGTCTTTGACCAGAACAAGCGGAAAGCAGATACTCTTGCTGATTCTGATCACCCATCTAAAACCCGTAAAGTCACAACAGAGTACATCTCATCATCTGCAGCGCCTAATATTTTTCTCGGTAACTCGGCTGAAACCATGTCCAGATTATTCCCCATTCCCACCACCGCTCGTGAAATGTGTAAGTTGTATCCCTTGCTCGAAATTGTTTGACTATGGTCTGGATTCATCTCTATCAATCTGCCATAGTTAATTTTAATGGATCTATTTTCTAGTATAATTTTACTGATCTGATGTTTCGTAATAGTTTTTTTAATCGTTGTCTGTTTTGACCTCACAGGTCGTGATACACTTGTCCTCTGGGTCATTGAGGATGAAAATATGCCTGCAGTTAGCGAGTTTTTGTCGAAACATGACTAAATCACTTTAGCTCTCCTCAAAGAGGGTTACCGTGGGAGGGTGACAATCAAGGGTTACGTTGTTAATCCGAAATTGCCAAAAGAACATTTTAGGCATGCTTATCGGGAATACGGTATCAATATCCGTTTGAATCCAGAAGAAGGTGATGAAAGTATAAGATATAACAGGATGTTACTACACCTTCTTTATTGGGCACACATGATGAAATCCGAAAGTAATTTGGTGGTACTCTCAAGAAACCAAAACTTCGGACAAGGCACCAAGTTCGACCGTGTACGTGAGACTTTGGAAGAGTTAAGTATCAAAGTTGCCGTATTAAATCCTGATAAAGTCAATGACTATGCTCTCGACCAAGACGGCCTCTTGCTCTCATGATGGGACTAATGTTAATTTCAATGCTTTTATGATGGGAGTAAAAATATTATTAGGACATCTTTTGCTTTTAAAATTGTGTGTACAAGACTATTCTCGAATCAAAAACTCATATAACCTTTGTTTTTGCATCATATTTGTTACTTCTTCTGGTTACTTGAAATTCGATCCTTACCTGCATTGTTTTTGTAGTTTTAACTTAAGAGCTAGCTTCTTAAGCTTGTTCATAGGAACACAAAATTATATCAACTAGCAAAATAGCAAAACCTCTGTTTTCAAGCTTACCACTATTTAGTACTAAAACATCACTAAATGAAACAAGATTCTTAAGATACATACTATTCTTGACAAAATCTATATCCACAACATAACTCCAGAATCTTAAGAAATCTAAAACATTTGCATATGTATAACACTAAAAACCAGAAGAAGAGGATTTGATTACACAAACTTACCTTCTTCAGTGAACACAGACAATCCAAAGTTAGTAGCTTTAAGCATAGCATTCTCATCAGTACTAGCGAGCAAGAAAATAGTATCCAGTTTAAGTCACCTTCTTCAATGAACAACACAAATAGTATCCAGTTTAAGTCAGCAACTCTTTTGCACGGTCGTAGAAAATGTTGGCTATCTAATTAATTTTAGGTGCCTCTATCAAGGCTTTTCGATTTATCAGTCATTGGACTGGAAGAAGTTTCCCTTGTGTTGGCAGTGTGATACCACTTCTCATCATCGCACAAAATTCTTCATAGTTTATTCTTCCATCCTGCAAAAGAGAGCCATTAATCTCAATCTTGGCTTAAGAATTGTTCATAACTTGTTTGATGCTATGTAGAGGGAAAACAAAACTTACATTATCTGTATCGACTTCCGCTATGACTTCTTTGATGCTAGCTTCATCTCCCATACCATACTCTTTCATGGCTGACTCCAACTCATCCATTGTGATAAACCTGTGTTAAGAGAAATCCAAATTGGTTTCTTAAAGTAGCTCCAAGTCTATATTTACGTTGTTCCTCAAGGGACCAAACTTACCCGCTGTTGTCTTTGTCGAAGTATTGGAAGGCTTTGAATAAATGCTCATCCCGGTCCAATCTGTATCTATGCATTGTCACTGAGATAAACTCGATGTAGTCGATTGTTCCATTACCATCTACATCAGCCTGAAACATATATAAAATAGGCTATTCAGGCTCCATCCTTTTTTAGAAGAATAAGAAACATAAGAAGCAGAGCAAAGAGGATGGCAATACTTACGGCTTCCATGAGTTGCTTCACTTCAGCTTCGTTGAGTTTAGAGCCAAGTTTAGCCAGCCCGGTTTTCAGTTCTTCGTAAGTGATTGTTCCACTTTTATCGGTATCCATATTCGCAAACATGGTTTTAAGACCTTTAATTTCCTCTTCCGAGAGACTCTCTGCAATTACCTGTAAAACAGAATCAGAAACACAACCAATGGTTTGCCAATACAAATGAGAATGCTTACTTGCAGAAGAAACGTTTGTAGTTTTACCTTAAGAGCTAGCTTCTTAAGCTTGTTCATTGCTCGGAATTGCTTCATCCGAGATAATACAGCGCTATCAATAGGCTTGTCTGGTGCTTCTCCTCCTTTGATCCAAGGATGTTCTGGAAAAAAAAAACACCACAAGGATCTTTACAGACTAGTAAAGCATTGCAAAGTACATTGACTACAGAACCGCACTTAAAGAGACCAATGTGACTTTACCAAGAGCTTGTGCCGCTGAGATTCGTTGCTTAGGGTCCTTAGTAAGCAACTTCCTCACAAGGTCTTTAGCACTCTCAGATATAGAGGGCCATGGTTGGCTCTCAAAATCAATTTCCCCCTTTATAATCTCATCAAATATCCCCTTCTCAGTTTCTACATGTACCAACAACAACAACACATAAACAACAGAAGTACATAACTAAAGGATATAAACCAAATCAAACAATTGGTCAGATTTTATTACCAGCCCAAAAAGGAGGCACGCCACAGAGCAAGATGTATAAAATAATCCCTGCACTCCAAATATCGATTTCTTTTCCATAACTTCTTCTTAATACTTCAGGAGCAACATAGTACGCACTTCCGACTATATCCCTGTAAACTTTCCCTGCAATTTGTGTTTTACGGTTTAGAAACAAAACACATCAAGCATAGGAACACAAAATTATATCAACTAACTAAACTGGCATAATTTGACAAATAAGAAAAGGAAGAGAACACACAAGTTCTGTAATAATCCATTTACACACATTCTCAAGTTCACACAAAACTAGCAAAACCTCTGTTTTCAAGCTTACCACTATTTACTAAAACATCACTAAATGAAGCAAGGTTCTTAAGATACATACTATTCTTGGCAAAATCCATATCCACAACATAACTCCAGAATCTTAAGAAATCTAAAACATTTGCATATGTATAACACTAAAAACCAGAATAAGAGGATTTGATTACACAAACTCACCTTCTTCAATGAAGACAGACAATCCAAAATCAGTAGCTTTAAGCATAGCATTCTCATCAGTACTAGCGAGCAAGAAATTCTCAGGCTTAAGATCACGATGAATCACTCCCATAAAATGACAAATGTCAACAACATTCAAAATCGATCTAATAACACCAGCAGCTGCTTTCTCAGAGTAATGTCCTTGAGCTATAATCCTATCAAACAATTCACTACCACCACACAACTCCATCACCAAATGTATTGATTGTCTATCTTCATAGGCACCCTTGATCTCAACAATGTTCTCTTGTCCAGACAAATGCTGCATTATCTGAATCTCTCTCTTCACATCATCTCTGTCTTGCTTTCTCGTTAGTTTCCTCTTGAGTATTGATTTGCAAGCGTATGTGTTCCCTGTTGAATTCTCTTTGCAAGTGTAGGTTATACCAAATTGACCTCGACCTAATTCGTTACCTAACGTGTAAAGTTTCCTGATTTCTTCAAAGGGTTTGCCTAGAATTGTCTCTGTTTCTCTAAAAACGATTGGTTTCTTCAATGTTGTTGTTATAACCTGCTGATTAACGGGTTTGGATTCTTGTTGTTGATGATGATTTGATTGAGTTGATGTCGGGATTTGAGGAGACGGAGGTTTCTGAGGCTTGAGAACGTCACGAGAGACATGGGTTTCGGGTTGATTTGTCGGAATTGAGCTCTGTACGCTTCCATTGATGATGTCACTCTCTGTGTCTCGGTGTTTGCTGCTAAAGCAACCCATTTTGAGGGTTTTTTTATTAGAATTTCTTGTCTTCTAGGTTAGAGAAGAAGTAACCCCGATTGGGAAATTTATCGGACAATACAAAAATAAAAATTGGCAATTTCGTTCGCGAGTTTTTTGATTACCATTTTCGGTGAAAGCGGAGATTTTGTTTTCCATTTATGTTTCGCCGACATTAACGGTTTTAATTTAATTTTCCTACGGAAGTATTCCATTTTCAGCTATCTTGAATTCTTGATTATTCTAATCAAAGCTAGAATTTTAGAGAAAGACCGTTGAATTAGTTTTCTAAAGTATAAAGTAGTTAAAAATAATCTTTTTTTTTTTTTGGTTAAAAAATAATCTTGAATATGAATATATGATCATAGTCATCATTGTTTTGATATACGTAGTTGATCAATACTCCCTCCGTTTCGTTTTAGTTATCGTTTAAGGTTTTTTCACACAAATTAAGAAAAATATTAAATTTTCTGTTTTACCCTTTATTAATATATTTTATAAAAAATTTCATTGGCCAAAACAGTAGGGATAAAACTGGAATTTTCACCAAACATTTGCATTGAAAACCTAAAACGACAACTATTATGAAACAAAATCAAAATTTAAATCCTAAAACGACAACTAAACTAAAACGGAGGGAGTATTAAATTACATATCGAATAGAAGAGTGATATAAATGATGACAGTAATTATTGTGTAGTCAATAGTGCTTAATTAATTACTCCAACTCTATGGACAAATTATATACTACTACTATAATCTAATATTAATGATCAAATTAATTACGTAAAATTAACCATAAAACCCGGTTTGTCTCCACACGGCGTCTCTGACCCGTCTCATGTCACGTCCCTTTAACGTCCTCCCCACGCCCAAAAACACCGACGAACTACCGTCACCGTTACGGCTACGCGCGGCCACGTATTCATGAGGCGGCACTATCTCACTCCCCCAATTAAAAACCGCCGCGTCAGCATCATCATTATTATTATTATGCATTGACTTGATGGACTCCACCTTTAGGATCTTGCTCCAGTCAGGAACTTTCACCGGCGCAGAAGTCGCCACGTGTCTCTTCCTCCGCCCTTCACTCGAGACGGTCAGGTCACTCACGCGGCCTCCGTTCCGTCTCCATTCATTGTCAGTCCCCTCGAGAGAGCGTGTGATCCACGCGCCTACTTCCGTTGGTTCGTCAGGCTCGACCACCGACCAGACATCCTCTTCCATGAGCTCCAGCTCGACGGTGGTTACTCCGTCCACGGATTGCTGATGGCTTCCAAGAAATCGCTCGCTCCGACTAATCGGTAAACTCCGACCTTTGCCCATATAAATCTCTTTTTTACCTAAGAAAAGTGTATACCCGCTTTGATTTATGTGTTAAATTACCGTTATTGATCACCTAGTAATATATTTGGAAGTGTAAGAACAAGAGAAAGATGGAACTCTTGTATTGTTTTGTGTAATGAGTGAGGATCGAGGAAGAGGATGAGCATGTGTGTGTGTATATATATATATATATCAAATTGAGTCTGCATTGCGTGTGTGGTTTTACTCAGTTATGTTCGGTAAGATCAAAAGAAGATGTCATAGTCCACATAAAATAGTCGACACAGTAACCATTTAGATAACGGCGCTACTATTTTGTATTTCTTTTAGCATTTTAGACGAGAGCAAGTTAAGATTTATTTTTCCCATTCTAAAAGTAATTCAATAATCATATACAATGTGATGTCTTAGTTGCCGACGTACCATCATGCGTTCTAACAAGATTTCTATCGTAGCTTCAATATAGAGTTGTGAGACAAATGATGAATAGTTTTAATAACCAAGGAATTTTATATCAAAATCTATATTTATCCAAATAGCTAGTCTGTGAAATGTGATCATATTCTTGTCATTTAAAACCCTTTAACAAATTCACAGTATTCAAGTATAATTAAAATCACGGTACTATACCATTTATAGATTTGTGCACGTCCTAGACTCCTAGTATGTACAATAAGTCGTTAAGCTTAGCCAAGCATACGTGAATTATATACTGTATACGGCAAATGCTTGAGTTTACATGAAAATAAAATTCGAAATGAGAAACTATAGTTTTTGGTATTTTTGTAAGTATCCGAACGAGATGGTGCAGATTCGACAAAATTACATAAACATATTATTGGCTTATTTCATTCTCTGTAGCTGAAGGTGGGGTCTATATCTCCGCATGGGAAAGCACACAAGATATGTCGCAGTTCAGCTGTTCGACACGTGTTCACTCATTGCAAGCAGGTCCATCTAATTTTGTCTATTAACGTTGACACGTGATCTAATCTGAACCCACCAATAGGCAGATTAAGACCGGAGTCGACGAGGGTGTTGTTGGATTGGAGAGTGAATGGCTAACGATGGAGACCGACGAACTAACAAAGTCTACATATGTGGTCCATCATTGTTCTGTCCTTTCCTTCTTTTTACTTTGCCTCAATTATTAGCGTTTTTTATTATTTCGTTTTTGTTTAGTTATTTTTTTCCTGATCGAATCGCATTTTTCGTCGAAACACCATTTATATTAAGTAATCAGAAAGAGACTCTCCTCTAGGAAAAGCCATTCAGGAACCGATGTGCTTACATGAGGAAAAAAAACTATTACGTGCCCGAGTTTTTTTTTGCCAAAAAGTCAGTCCGAGCATTGTTACACCTTGGGAGAAATCTAATGTTAAAATCAGGGAAAAACATAAAAGAGACCGGAAAGTGGCAATCTCCGCCACGAAAGTGGGCCACTCCGACTGCTTGTCAAGAAGGGAGATACGATTAGCGCAATCGGATGCAAAGGCACATCTTGATTTTCCAATCGAGATCATTGTTTAGTTCATTGTTTTGTATATAACGGGCTCCCAACCCTACACTAATTTAACTGTGAATGTTTAGCAACTTCGAGTCTTCGACCCATTAATAAACCAGGCCTATTTCAGCTACTCAGTATGGGCCTATAAAAGAAATGACCAATTCCATATAGAATTAGTGTTACGTATTTGAATGTATATCTAATGGATGAGAAATATTGACGAGAAAAAATGAAAATAATTGACAAGATTCTGAAATTTTTTCTTGGTGGCAATTTGTAGTACTTTTGACTAGATTCTATTCATACGCAGTACAATGGCGAAAATTATACAATTTTGTACACGTGAATTTGGAACAAGAAGAGAAAGAGTAAATTATAGTATAAGTGAAAAAAGGATCAGTAAGAAGAAAAAGTCAAAAAGTGATTCCCTTCCCATGCAAATAGATTAGCTGACAGTGTGACACTTCTTCACACGTTCCTTCCTTCCTTTATAAGCAAAAAAGTAACAAAAATAATTATTTCTCTTCTAATAATATCTTTTACACCTACTCATTTCAGTACTTTATTTCTTTTAGCACGTGAAACACAACGGCGTATTGTCATATAAAATATTTATATACTCATTTTTGTAACTACTAATAAGAATCAATTACGGATTATATATATATGTGACGTTAGTGAATAAAAATACTAAATTAGTGAAAAGGTTTATCCAAAAAAAATTATCCAAGGGTGTTTAATAGAAGAAATGAAAAAGGAAAATTTTTTTATTTTCTTGACATGCACCAGTCAAAAAAAAATCAGAAGAAAATTATATCAGATGAAAACATCAAAAAGTAACTAAAGGAGAGGAATTCTTCCTTCCTCAAAACTAGTAGAATTCATTTTTCTTCTTGATGTGACATTTATTTTCTTCTATTTTTTCTTTTCATTTATTCTAACTTTTTAACCAGTCACAGCCGAAATATTTGGTTGATTAAAATATAAAATCATTAGTTGCAAGTCTCTGGAATGGCACGGCCGACATAATAGACAATTTATTAAGTAACTTTTAAGTCCACTCGCATCAACTTCATCATCAGTTGTTCTAATATAAATATTTAGTGTCCACTAGCTTTTCGATAATATAGTATGATTAATGTTTATAAATATTAATGTTTATATATAACTTTGGAAAAGAAAAAGGAAATATAAAGGGAAATATCAGTTGTTCTAATGGTGAGAATCCCTCATGTACTCTCACCAATTGTTTAAACATATTTTTTTGAAATTTTTATATGAGAATTTGGAGTTTTTTAAAAAAAAATTCATAGTCCAATACTCCAATAATAGTTTCTCTTGTGGGGTTCTTAAAATATATTTTTTGAAAATATTTTGATATTGATGTAATATGATGTTTGGTTTTGATGTAATTTGATGAATTAGGACAAAGTAAATGGTGTAATTGGTGTTTGGTGTTTCAAGAGTTCATAATCACAACAAAAACTTGTCAAATGCAAAACAGAGATTCATGATCTACGCATATTAAACTTGTCAAATGCAAAACAGAGATTCATGATCTACACATATTTTGATTTGAGTGTCTTGTCTCCTACTTGGCCTATATAAGACAGATTTGGTATCTTCGACATCAAAAACACATTAAAAAAAAAAACACATTAAATTTCATAGCATAGACAATTCACAAGCAACATTGAACTTGCCTTCTCCACTGCATTTCTCCTCTTGGCTTCTCCACTTGCAGTTCTCCATTTATACTCAACAAAAACAGAGAGAAATAAAGCACATTAGCATAAACAATTCACATTCAAAAACAATATATTGATTCAACAACCTAATCAAACACAACCAACCACACTTTCTAATTTCTCAACAACCAACAATTTTCAAGAATAAGAAGAAATTTAACTACATAAACAGCATGAGTCTTAATATTTAGCTATGCTATTCATATCCGTAATTTTCAATTGTTCCACACAATCATGAGTCTTAAAAGGGAATAAGAATAAGAAGAAATTTGATGGCCCTGCTAGTGAGAGTCGCTGTGATTCTTGATGATCTCAACTAAAAGATTGTCTCCAGCCACTTCTCGCATCCTCATCAACAATCCATTATTTCCTTCAATAAACCATCAAAACAAAACAGAGCTTTTCTTTAATCACCTAATCAGTCCTTAGTTGCAATATATAACCATCCATTGTGCAATTCTTTCACTATCTTCTTCATTCTCAGTTCCTCCTGCATCATCATCAAAATACAAGCTTTGTTATTATGAAACTGTTTTGGTTGTCAGAGAAAAGGTTTTGTCTTTGAAAACTGTTTTGAGGTGGTTCTTTGAAAGCTTGCATAATGACTACATAAACAGCATATACAACTCAATAACCCAAAGCATTGACTGAATTGAAAATGAGAGGTAAGAAACCACATCACGGAATTTCACAACATACAAATCCAGCAGGAGGAAATAGTTTGAAAATTTCATCACATCAACTCATCTTACAGGAGAACAGACTCAAAATTCACCCTATCCGCTGTTAAGACCAAAGATTCCACAATTTTGTTCCATTGCAGTAATCGATGGAACAATAGCAAGAACTTACCGAAATTTTCGATGTCGTCGAAAGAGAGAGAGATGTGTTCTTCCCAATCAATAGAATTTTTGCAGAATCACAGTGAGAGAATCACAAATTGAAGTATAACACATAAGAGATTCGTGTATAAAGCTTCATACTTGGAATTGCAGACAGAGATTAAGGCACACCCTTCACCCAACTGAGATTTCGCAATCGGAGAAATCAGAAAGAGAGAGAGACACGCAAAAAAAAAAAAAAAAAGCGTGTTTTTTTCTTCTGTTTTGTTAAAAATGACAACCAATAATACTATGACACGTAATCGTCTCCCTTCACCTCCCAAACTTCTCTCAAGAGAAACGTCTCTCTCCATATTTAAGGTTTCTGATTTATTTTTTGCCACTTTATTTCAGAAAAACCCTTAAGAGAGCTCTAATTTTCCACCATTGGAGATGCTCATACATCTCTGACCTTGAACATCCTCTTATACGGTCCCCATTAATTCAATAAGCCAAATTTTAATAGGGATAAAATTTGAAGTTACCTGTTACCAAAAAAAACAGATCAAATTTGCTAGTAGTTTTAACATCATTTTTTTTTAAGAAGAATTACATACTAATTCTCTTCTGTATTAGCTAACTTTAGAGTTCAATTTTTATATCTTATCACTTTTTTCACGCACTCTCAAAATCGGTTCGGATAAAATTATCAAAGGCAAAATAAAATGTTATCCAGTATTTAAAAATAGAGGTTGTACGTAAAATACAATTTTAAGTGAAGTAATTCATGTCGACAAATTTTTTTTTTTTTTTGGAAGTAAATCAGTTACAAGCAGTGGATGAGGATGAAACAGCCTTGGTCAACTAATTACAACGTAACTTTGGAAGGAATTCTACGTAAAGACTAATCAACCTTTGTCTTCTCTCCCAACATGGCCGTACAAATCTAATCCATTTCCCTCGAGCCTTATATCCATTTTCTAATACTAAAAACAAACACTTAAGCTATAAATACTTCTCTCTGAATCTCAACAAACTCAATCATCAAATAAACAAAATAAAATGGGAAACTGCATATGCGTAACGGAAAAAACGACGACCTCGTGGTCAGGAGACGATAGTGGATCATATAACAAGAGGAGGAGCAGAAGAAGATCCACCGTGGTTCACCACGACGACGACGGAGAGAAGCTGCTCGGAGAAACAAGCAACGTTACAACATCAAGTTCGTCATCGTCTTGTGGGAGAAGAGAGATTAAGATAAGGATGACGAAGAAGGAACTTGAAGATCTCATGAGAAACATTGGTTTGAAGAGTTTGACGGCGGAAGAGATTCTTTCTAAGTTAATTTTTGACGGTGGAGATCAAATCGGATTCTCTGCCGTCGATATATCGAATCACCACCAGCCGTGGAAACCGGCGTTACAGAGCATACCGGAGATCGATTAGTGTTATTTTCTTCAAAGTAATAGGTAAAAAAGCTGAGTGATGCGTGTGTCCTAAACTTGACCCTTTCGATCAGTGATTTTAGCTAATTAAAAAAGTATGTACACATGTTTGGTTTTGTAATTAATTTGTTTGTTGAGATTTAATGAATTGTTTGTTTTATTGTCTTCGCCATTTATCACATCTAAAACCTAGATGTTGATTGATATTTTAAAAAAGAAAAAATAAATGTGAAATAATTGTGAAGATTCGTCAACATAAAATTGTAAATATACATAAACAGTGTTTTGCGAATCGTTATTAGTAACGTATAGTCGCATCTAATAATGGTGGTCTTGTAGTGCATAACTGCATATAGGTCCACGCAGGCCGGTCGGAAGGGTTGATGAGTTTAAAGCAAACAAAATGGGTTTGGTCCACTAATAAATAGTTATTTTTAAAACATTAAAAGAAATGCAAGGATAAAGGTTCGAACTCGACATCACGTCTGACTTACGCAAAATGAATTAATGATGCCTTCGAACTTATTAATTGTTGGGCTTTAGTTCATGGTCGGGTCTGGGTCCACGACATGATAATTAAATTTCTTGCAGTCACCTTCCATTAACTATCGATCGAATCACATGAATGACATGCATGAGGCATGGGTTTACAAAAAACAATAATAAGAGTATGCCCTCTGAAACAAGAAGTTCTAGGCCTCCAGAGATAATATCAATAACTTCGCGTCCATTTGATATATATATGCATATGGTTTAAATCGGTACGTTAGATACCGTTATGGTTTCAGTTTGTGTAACATTTTAATTTTGAAGTGTTTATTTAAGATACGGATTGGTCCTCATTCGTTTATATTCAGAAAATAAAATCATTCAACCGAATTATTAGTTTAGTTTCGTTTGTAATTTATCTAAATGGGTGTTCCTTGATTAAGAAAAAAAACACGTAAGATTAAGTACACAATAAACAAGTTGAGAAAAAAAAGTTTGTAAGAGATTGATGTCTTTCTAGAGGCATTTTATCATATCAGTGATGCCGTGATGGGGGATTTTAGAGGACTACCCTAATCAGGGAGAACCTTGAAACCGATCGTGCTTACATGTTTCTAGATACGAGTAACAGAAAATCGATTAATTTAAAAAGGATTGTGTTTTCGTGAAGAATTAAGGATGTGTGTATGGTTATCCGTTTCACATGTTGGCATCAAAATGTCAACGTTTCACATTCAAATCCTACCCCAAAAAAAAAAAAAAAAAAAAAAACAGATCTACTTTTAAATCGTTATAACACATAAAACTAGGATATTACCCACGGTACACCGCGGATTAATTATTTGATTTTTTTATTTTTATAAATTGATGAATTTATTGTGTATAATATTTTTTGTTGTATACCGCGGGTCACATGCGTTGTATCTAAAATAAAAAATTTTAAGTTGTATTTATTTTGTTTAGTGTTTAAGATTGTATAATTGTATTTTGATTTGTTATTTATAGGATTTCACCTGTGGTATATTGTCTCGTATTAATATTGACCCAAACCCGTCCAACCATATAATCTAAAATGAAATTAAACATCATTTTGTTATTTTTTAATAACACTTTTATTTAAATGTCATATAATTCGAGTTAATTTGAAAGTTGCTTTCAAATAGTTTCCATGTATATTTTTAAATTAGTGTGTGTTTTTGGACCAACCCGTAAAAATAATTTATAATTGTATCTTAAAATACTAATTAGGATTTCACCCGTGATATAGTGTCCCATTTTAGATAATTGTAAAAATTAAAGAAAGATCCGAATGACTCAATTTCGGGTCTGAATAAAATAACGACATGATTAAATGCTCAATTTGTTCTTAAAAATGTTAATATAGATTACACACATATTTTTATTCATCGATTGAGTAATATATGTCTGTTTTAAAAAATTTGAATTGTAACATATGCAGAAAAAAAAAAACTAAAATTTACTAACTATTTATATATTTTATAATAATTTAAAATAATATAAATATAAGATCAAATAAAAGTGAAATAAGAATCATATATTTATGTTTAAATTAGGTAGAGAGGTTTTAGGAAATTAGTGCAAATTTGTTATATTAGCATTAAATCATCATATTTGATTTCTTTATCTATAAAAATCGTGGAAAATATACCATAAATAAAGCGTTTAAATATAGTAATTAGTTGAGAAAGTATATATATTTTAGATTTTATTAATTATTTTCGTTTTTCAATTTTGCCAAAATTTAAGGAAAGATCCGATTGAAGATTTCCGGGTCAAAATTAAACAAATTTGACCCGATTTGGGTACCCCAAAAACTGCTGCAAAAATGTATAGTAGATATTAAATTACAACACATTAAGACAGAAATACCTTAAAGCAAACACATATTATAATTAAATTATAATTTTTCATTATTAATTGGAATAGTGACAATAAACAAGCGGTAGAAATCTATTAGATCATGGAAACAAATAGAATATATGCATAATGGACTCAACATGTAAAATAAGCGGTACCAAACAAGTAAAACAAAATTTGAATGGTGACGATTATTTATACGACATGGAAATTAAATTTTGACTAACTTTTTGTAACATTTTGAGTGAATAAAATATATTTATATGGAATTGATTTATAATTTATCGCATACCAATTTTCACAATTTTCAAAATTTAGAATGATATATAACTGGAGACTAATAAGTCTAATATTTTGTTTCATTTGTACCTACATCAAAACTTTTGTTTGAGTTGTCTAATTTTTAGGATAATCTCATATTACACATATCTTATTATTAAGCTTAATTATATTAAAAAAACATTGATTTCTGTGATTTCTTTTTAATTAAATATAATAAGTATTTGTTATATAAAATGAAAAGCTCATCTTGTTCTTCTTTTTTTTTTCTCTTGTTTCTAAGAAATAAGTAAGAATCCTATTTAATTCCTTTTTCTTTGCCTTTTGGGCGACCGTAACTCTAATAAATTATATTCGTATCTTATCTCATTTTTATGTGGCCATAAACATTTCAACATCGGTTATTTAATGCTCCTAGAAGTATATTCAGGTTAAAATTTGAGTTTGAATCAATTGTTTACGGTTTCCAGATTTTGGGTTGATTCGTACGTTTAGGGTTTAATTCCAAAATTTGGTCACCTTATTTGTTGCAGCCATTCTAGCGACTTTTTTTTTTTTTTGGGTAGAAAACGATTCTAAAGACGCATGTGACGTTTTTAGCTAAATAATGCGATACATCGATTGAAATTGACATGTCGCTAGCTATACTACAAAGTATCCACTCATATATTTTGTTTATTTATTAATTAGTTTTAGTTCTTTCCATAGTTTCTGTAATATTTCGCTATCATAGCTATTAATTTTTTAATCAAAATTTGTTTGATAATTTGATCATCTCCTTTATTTATATATACGTATATGATGCTGTATTGGGAAAGTAGCTCTTAAGTCACTGAATCTCAAATCTTTTACGTATAAATCATTGTTGTTGTTTTTTTTTTTTTTTGGTAGACCATTGTTGTTTTTTTGTTGTTGTTTTGTTGTATTGATAATGTAAGCTCAGTCTTTTGCACGACATCAAGATATATACGGTATAGTGTTTGTGGTACCACGATCGCAACGTATAATAAGATAGTACTGTAACTAACAGTCACGTGACGGTATTTGAAATTAGTTAAACTCCAACTAATTAACTATACGTACATTTTACACGTGGTAAAAACAAAACTAAAGCAAGAAGATCCAATTGTTTCTTTCTTCACGCCTGTGACACTTTTACACCCATTTTCCAATAAGAGTTTTCTTTTTCTCTTCTTTTTACGTGTACGATCCCAATTTATAACAACACAAAAAGGGTTTATTTTTCTTATCCCCATTTTGATCATTTCAAAAACCCCACATGCCCACCACATTTCCTCCTCAGTCTTTTTTATAAACAAACCATTTTCTTGCTTTTGTTCGCAACACTATAACCTTAAAAGCAAAAAAAAAAAAAAAACTAAACTTATGGATGTGTCAAATGAGACGGTGGAGACAACCGATCTCCGGAGACCTTTAGTAGATCCGGCAGACACGGAGGTGAAACGTCTTTCAGAGGTCGGGCTCGAGAGCGTATTAACGGAAAGTAGCTTGTCGTACCCGAGGCGTGTGTGCTTAGGAGCGTGTATAGAGATGAAAGTACTTTTCCAGTTGGCACTTCCGGCGATACTTATCTACTTAGTCAACTCCGGAATGGGTATCTCCGCTCGTATCTTCGCCGGACATGTTGGTAGTCAAGAACTCGCGGCCGCGTCCATCGGAAACAGCTGCTTCAATCTCGTCTATGGACTTATGGTACGTTTTGCGCTACCGTATACACGTGAGGAGACATGTTGATATTATTAAGCGTTCTCGCATTTTTAGTGAGCTAAATGGCCACCATTATAAATAGGTGGAAATTTCTTAACTTACTAGTTACAATTTTTTTTTTTTTTTTTTGCTAGTTACAATTTAGTCATATAATGCTGAACAATTCTTTAAATGGTAAGCATATCTTATAAAAATAATACCAATGTATATTCATATATTTTAGGGTGTACAGTGATAAATTTTTTAAGGCGTTAAATTTACTTTAGTATATAAATTATTACCGCCATGGTAACAACTATAAATGAATTAAAAAAAAAGAAAAAAAAGAAAAGGAAGTTAACAACTCGTTATTCTTAGGGAGAGAAACTTACGTAATGCAGCCCACTAGACCAATTTCATTGAGAATCTCTCTGTGAGGGACGACTCTTTAATAAAAAAATTAAAAATAATGAAAAAAAAGAAAGAAAGAGAGTCTTTGGTCAATTTTATTTTTATAATTAAAATTTAATTATATGACTAAATTATATTAAAATATGAATTTTTTTTGGGAAAATTCCCAGAAAAAACCTCATGTATTTTTTATTTGGACGTTTAATACCCAATTGTTTTCGGTTGGAAGAAAAATACACATATTAATAAAACTGTGCGATTTAATACCCAAACAATCAAATGTTGTTATTTTCATACTTACGAACTCACAACAAATAATATATTCCAATTTTACCCTTATCATCTCAATTAATTATTAACTTTTAAATAAGGTGATATTTTTTTTCTTTAAATAAAAATTAATTTTGTTAATGCTTTATTTTATGATGCCTAAAAAATAAATTTTAAATTTATATAATTATTTTATTTTAAAATTAAACATAAAAATTAGCAGAAAATCAAAAATATTAAAAATAGTCATTTGTACAATCTTATTCCGTCTTTGCAATGTCAAAGAGACGTTTTCTCTTCGGTTCTAATTTTTTCGATTAATATCTACGAGAATTACCGGTAAACAATCTCCGTCGTCCTCTTTTGCAACCATCAAATTCGATAATCATTCGCAATCTCCTTTTAATCCTATCCAAAATCTACATCGCCAATAAAACTAATTTGATTTGATTCGTCGTGATGCATATGATATCAACGAGCATCAATATGAACTTTTTTTTCGTCGTGAGAAACTCTCTATTCGAATATAAATCCTTCACGAATGAAACTATTTTCGACAAAATCTCAATCCGAATCTCATCGTCTCTCTCAAGATTTATCAATTCATAAAAATGGCTAATTTTTTTTTTTTTACTTTTTCTAAATTTTTTGCTAATTAATTTTATTTTTAATTTTTAAAATTAAATATTTGTAAAATAAACTGAAAATTATTTTGAAAATTTTTTTGAATTTTTTTTTGGGATAACAAAGAAATGAAATATTTATAAAATTAATTTTTATGTAAATAAAAAACTATTGTGACGTAATCTAAAAGTTAATAATTAATTGAAATAGTAAGGGTAAAATTGGAATTTTATTTTTGTTGTGAGATCGTCAGTATGAAAATAACAACATTTAATTGTTTGGATATTAAATCGCACAATTTTATTAATATGTGTATTTTTCTTCCAACCGAAAACAATTGGGTATTAAACGTCCAAATAAAAAATAATTGAGGTTTTTTTTGGGAATTTTCCCAATTTTTTTTTGGTAAAGATACTCTTTGGGTTTTCTCGTGGATAGAGATGCCCTTAGCACACAATACTCAACGATATAATTTTACCAAATGAAATCACTATGGTAAGTTGTAACAGCTTTTGTGTGAAAATGTTCTAATTATGGATTATGTAAGAGAATAATTTTTTTGTCAGCTATAACTTGACCATTAATTGTAGGTGTTGTTTTGCTTAATAAATGAGAATTAAATTTTGTGTCGACATAGTTTATTTTGTAAGTCACTCTTTTGAATATAATTATTGTAGGCTTATGCGTAGTCAAATATTTATGATTCTCTCATTGTATTTTAGTGTAAAACTGAGCTTTCTAAATTTTGCCCATGGGAGCAATTTGTTTACCTAATATTAGGACGTTCTACTTTTTCTCTTACTTTATAGAATTTTGAAAGATCTTCTACGTTCTATTGTTTTTTTAGGTGTGCAACACGTTCTATTGTTTAATGTGAATAATCTACACTAGTTTTTTTTTTTCTTGGATCAGATCTCTCTTTGATTTTCTTGTTCCATTTATGAAAGGAAAAAAGATTAAAAAAAGAGACCCATTTTCTAAGAAAACTTTTTTTCTAATTACGTGTATACAATCTCTATTTATAACTGAGCTTCATTTTGATTATTTCAAAAACCCCACAAAACAGATCCTCGAATCTCCAAATTTCCTCTTCAGTCTTATCATATAGACAAAACCCTTTTCTTTGTAAAACTTGTCACAAACTATGGAAGGGCTTAGTGAAACCACGAATCTAGCCGATCTCCGGCGACCATTGGTGGTTCCAGTTGTCTCGGAGCAAAAACCTCCGGCGGACGTCGGACTAGAGAGTGTTTTAACGGAGCGTAACCTTCCGTACCGGAGGCGCGTATACTTAGGGGCGTGCATAGAGATGAAACTACTTTTCCGGTTGGCACTTCCGGCGATACTTGTCTATTTAGTCAACAGCGGAATGGGTATTTCCGCTCGTATCTTCGCCGGGCATCTCGGTAAAAATGAGCTCGCCGCCGCGTCCATCGCAAACAGCTGCTTCAGTCTCGTCTATGGCCTCATGGTATGTTTAATGTCAACGACTCATCGGAGACGATGATATTATTAAATATTAATTCTTGATTTTTGCATTCGATATTTAATGTTAAAGGTTCGTATTAAGATAACTAGTTGAGTAAAAAAAGAAAAAAAGTGAAGTATATTAAGATAAACAACTGTCCTCGTTTCGTGAGCTAACTATTAGAGCTAATAATTAAGATGGTCACGATTATTTGCCTAATGCCTACAGCTTGTATGATTTATTCTTTTGAAATTTTCTTCATTTCCCACCGATTCTCGATAGTGTAAGAATTTCTTAAATAAGTTTAAAAATTCATTTATTAGTTTGACCATTTAATGACTCTTTGCCCTTTCTTCTTTTAAAATTTTATTTCAACCGGGGCCGGGGAGGAATATCAAAATAATTTTCTTAAAGAAGATTAAAGTTTTCCATATTCAATATACCAAAGTATATACTTTTGCATGCAATTTGCAGTATATTAATATATATATATATATTTATATATTTTTTAGTATATTAATATTTATTTATGCCTAAATTGTTGAACACCTATTCTACTAACTAATGAAAATGATTCGGGATTTCTTTTATGTTTGTTGGTTACAATTTGGTCATAGTGGTGATTGGTGGACAATTCTGCGTTTAACAGAAAATGCTAAGCTTGTTTTAACGAAACATTTACCAATTGCCTATATATCAAATGAAAAGAGAAAAACAAATTACAAACGTTAGTGTGTGAGTTATTTAGAGATGTCTAAATCATATAGGTTTGAGATTGATTATAGCTTTCAAAATAGAAAACTAAACGAAATTTATATTGACATTTAAGGCGGCCAAAAATATTTAAAGAATTTAGTCAAATTTTTTATACATAATTTTGGGTAACTTTTTCCGAAAATTGGTGGAAATGTTGTCCACATATAGAGCTTTTGCAGTAGATTTAGCAGACTAATCTTTGGTTACATGCCACTCAAATATACTCATGAATAGGCTGACCCAATGATGTCTTCTGACTTTTTCCTCATGAAATGTGCTCTCATCGTGTCTTGTCATTAGTTATTTATGCACATCACTCACGTGTTTTTATTCTTTTATCTTTTTTTTTGATTAAAAAATCTATTTATAATATTTCTGATAGATTTAATTTAGGAGGAAAACTACTTAATAAAACATGCATAGTTTGATTAATAAGTATAACTAGCCAATAAGCTGTTCCCATATTTTAGAGAATACAAACAAAGATATTGTCGATGTCCAACAAAACTGGTGCCCACATTTTCAACAAAAAGCTATATATGTAACTACTTTTTTGTTTCTCTTTTTGCCTTTTTCATGTGTTTTTTTGTAGTTAGGTATGGGCAGTGCAGTCGAAACACTATGTGGGCAAGCCTATGGAGCCCATCGTTACGAGATGCTTGGGATCTATCTCCAAAGAGCAACTATAGTCCTCGCTCTTGTTGGCTTGCCCATGACATTACTATACACCTTCTCGTACCCGATTCTAATCCTACTAGGGGAGCCCAAAACGGTGTCGTACATGGGATCCAAGTACATCGCCGGACTCATTCCTCAAATCTTCGCTTACGCCGTCAACTTCACAGCCCAAAAATTCCTCCAGGCCCAAAGCGTGGTGGCCCCTAGCGCGTTCATCTCAGCCGCCGCCCTCATCCTTCAGATCTTGCTGACGTGGACCACCGTTTATGTAATGGACATGGGCCTTATGGGCATAGCTTATGTTCTTACTATTACTTGGTGGGTCATTGTTGGATCCCAATGTTTTTACATTGCAGTTAGTCCCAAGTTCAGACACACGTGGACTGGTCTTAGCTGGAGATCGTTCCAAGGTCTTTGGAGCTTCTTTAAACTCTCTGCTGGCTCCGCCGTTATGATTTGTCTGGAAATGTGGTATTCGCAGATTCTTGTTCTTCTTGCTGGTTTGCTCAAAGATCCTGCTCGCTCTTTAGATTCTCTCTCCATCTGGTAAGTCCATTAATTAGTTAGTATCTTGATTCTTGATACTATCATTTTCTTAATCACTTGTACTTCTCTTTTATCTAACTATTTCTTCTTGTTATTTTTCGCAGTATGTCGATTTCAGCATTATCATTCATGGTCTCCGTCGGCTTTAATGCAGCTGTAAGGTTAGTATTTGTTTCTTAATCAATTTCAGATTATCAACCAAACATTGCTCGAGTTAAATCATAATGTTTTATACAAAATACTATGATATTGACAGTGTACGAACAAGTAATGAGCTTGGAGCAGGAAATCCGAAATCAGCATTGTTCTCTACATGGACGGCAACTTTTGTTTCCTTTGTGATTTCCGTGACGGAGGCCCTCGCCGTGATTTGGTTTCGTGATTACGTTAGCTACATTTTCACGGAGGATGCTGACGTGGCTAAAGCCGTCTCTGACCTCTGTCCTTTTCTAGCCATCACCATCATTCTCAACGGAATCCAACCTGTCTTGTCCGGTATACGTGCATTAATTTAGATTAAAACTACAGAAATTAACTGGTGCACCTCAACCGAACTGGACCAAATAAATATCGGTTTGGTGTTGTTTGTAGGAGTGGCAGTGGGATGTGGATGGCAGACATACGTGGCTTATGTGAACGTTGGTTGTTACTATGTTGTTGGTATTCCTGTTGGGTGTATCCTCGGCTTCGCTTTCGATTTTCAAGCCAAGGTTCGCTTTCAAATATTTTCTGTATAGTATATTAGAATATGCTTTGTTATTATCAGTTTAATAGAAATATTTTTATGTGAACTTTGGTTATAGGGAATATGGACCGGTATGATTGGAGGTACCTTCATGCAAACACTCATTTTACTTTACGTCACGTACCGAACAGATTGGGATAAAGAGGTAATGTTACATGAAATTAAGTTACATGCATCATTTTTTTTGTATATCATATAGTATAAGCTGAATTTGATTTCGAAGGGTTTGTCGAAGATATTATGATTACTATTGTTTAATGATATAGGTGGAAACGGCGAGAAAACGTTTGGATATGTGGGACGACAAGAAGGAGCCTCTCCACAGCTAGTAATGGATTTTACAGAAAAATAAAAATATATTTTTAGAAATAGTTAATACTCAAATCTAACAATCTGATACTTAATATTCAGGTTATAACAAGTGTGGGGGAGTGAAAGAGACTGAAAGACAATAAAGAAATAAAAGGTGTTGGCAAAAAAAAAAGGAAGAAGAAGAAAGACAATAATGAAAAGGAAATAAGTGTGGTGTGTGCAGGTGGTTTCAATGTACGTAGGTTTTCATGGTTGTGCAGCTTGTTCTATGGAAATAGAACAAATTCACCAGATTTTCTTTTTCTCATATTATAGGGAAAAATTAAAAAATTATCTGATGGATAATTCTTTATTTACTTAAAAGTTGTTCTTACATTTGATTTTTTGTTTCCTTTCTCAACTTGAACTATATATTATGTCTTGTTTTTAGTAGACAGTAGTAATTAACTTCATGGAATTTTGATGTAATTGGTAATGGTGTAGTAAGTAAAGAAGCACATCAATGTGACATAGCTATCCAGTTTTCTTTTATCAGTACATTGTACTTTAGACTTTAGTGGATGTTAATTTGTCGATATGCCATCATTCGATTTAAATTCGTTTAATACATACTTGACAAAAGAAGTAAAAGTTTCTCTACTCAAAATAGACAAACACGAGTTACGAGGGCAGCTCTTGACAAATTATGAGTGCCACTATTAATAATTATAGACATAAAGTGAAGGGTCAGTTATCTAATCCATGATGCATGATTCAAACAAAATAAATGTATAGTTAAAGAAGCTATAATAGGCAAATTTCCTAAGCAAACAAAAATAAAATTAGTCAACCGAGGAAAGTGAAAAAAAGATTACTACGTAAAATTAAAATCGATCCACTGTCTTCAGTCTTCACCAATATAATTAACAATAGTCACTAGATTTTTTCTTAAAGATTTATCATTACGAAAAATATTAAATATTATTATTCGACATATTAATTAACATGGAAGGATATAGAATTATTCATTTCTGAAGACCGAAAAAAGAAGCTAAAAGGAAAAGATTGGTTAACGATGTAATTCTACTTTCAAACAATCTTTTCATTAAGTCGTTGGGCTGATAAAGTCTGTTTCGCACAGCCTTATAAATTACGCGAGTGAACGGCTTATATATTAATCGACCACTTAAATAACAAACACAAAAAAATTGATATTTGTTGACCGACTTGTTTGAGTCTTGGCCTAAATTGGCGTCAAACTTTATATAAGACATAGCTATATACTTTTGTTCTATGCAATTTGTTTGTATTAATATTAGGGTGTTTATTGTTTTTGCTTTACATTTTAATATTCTTGTAAAGAAAATCTACATTAATCTAGTGTTTTATATAACAACTTACAATATTTTATTTTGTCTTACTCCTTGGACCACACCGACGGTCTCGTATCGCACTCTAATTTTATAGTTGCATTTGAAAAAGAAAAAAATCAAACACCAAAGTTCAAGAAGACTTTTTCTACATGTAGTAGAATCCCCTATTTTAATACACAAAACGGTTTGTTTTACTTTTTCTTATGATCATTTTGATTATATTAAAACCCAACCGATCGTCACTCTCCACCCAATTTACTCCTCAGCCTTTATATAAACAACCCTTTCCTCGTAAAACTTTTCATAAGCTAATTAACATAGGCGTTAAAACAAATAATAACCTATGAAGGTGTCAAATGAGACGGTGGAGAGAATCGAACTCCGGCAACCGTTGGTGGACACGGAGAAGAAACCTCGGTTCGAGGTCGGGCTCGAAAGCGTGTTAACTGATAGTAGCTTGCCTTACCGGAGGCGCGTGTACTTAGGCGTGTGCATAGAGTTGAAACTACTTTTCCGGTTGGCACTTCCGGCGATACTTGTCTATTTAATCAACGGTGGAATGGGTATTTCCGCTCGTATCTTCGCCGGACATCTCGGCAGTAACCAACTCGCCGCCGCGTCCATCGGAAACAGCTGCTTCAGTCTCGTTTATGCCCTCATGGTACGTTTACCTTACATATGTGTGGAGACTTGGGATAGAGCTCATGGTTCGCATTCTTTTTGTGGTATGGGCTCATCAAAATAACTCATTAAAGTTTAAAAACTAATATTGATTGGTTAACCCAATTAATTAGGTGGAAAAAAGTTTTTTGCTCACCAAATGAAATCTATGGTAAATTTCCGTAAAACGGTATTCAAATTTTGGAGTAGGAAAGAGTGTAATCTTTCACTTTTCTTTCATAACTTGTAAATATATTTTTTTGGGGTCAACTATAACTTTTATCGGTTTCCAGTGTCCGATTTTATTTATTTATTTATGAATGTAAAATTTATTGAAACATAAAAAAATATTATTACATTACATGCACCATAATGTCCTAGAAATTATAGCATCACTTGGTTTTCTTGTTTTCTTTTCTGAAAATTCTTGTATGCTTCGGAAAAGAAGTCAAACACTTATGATTCTCTTCTCTCTTTTAATATACATGTCAAAGAAAATAAAGTGTTAGTTTTTTTTGGCCTTTTTTTATACTGTTTTTCTTTTCTAGTTGGGCATGGGTAGTGCGGTCGAGACACTATGTGGACAAGCCTATGGAGCCCATCGATACGAGATGCTTGGGATCTATCTACAAAGAGCAACCATTGTCCTTGCTCTTGTTGGCTTACCTATGACAATACTATACACCTTCTCGTACCCGATTCTTCTCCTCTTAGGCGAGCCCAAAACGGTATCATACATGGGATCTTTATACATCGCCGGACTCATCCCTCAAATCTTTGCTTACGCCGTCTACTTCACGGCCCAAAAGTTCCTCCAGGCCCAAAGCGTGGTGGCTCCCAGCGCGTACATCTCAGCCGCCGCACTCCTCCTCCAGATATCGCTTTCGTGGATCACCGTTTATGTAATGGGCTTGGGCCTCATGGGTATAGCTTATGTTCTTACGATCTCTTGGTGGGTCATTGTTGGAGCCCAAACGTCTTACATTATAGTTAGCGTAAGGTTTAAAGACACTTGGACTGGAGTTAGCTGGAAATCTCTCCATGGTCTTTGGAGCTTCTTTAAACTATCTGCTGGCTCTGCTGTAATGATCTGTTTGGAATTGTGGTATACACAGATTCTAGTTCTTCTCGCCGGTTTGCTCAAAGATCCTGCACTCTCTCTAGATTCTCTATCTATATGGTAAGTCCATTCATTAAGATTTTCATATACTTGTTTTTAGTGTTTGGATCCTTTTTGGTTGAGGTCTTGACCATTTTTAGATACACTTATATTTAAACAAAGATTGAAACGTTAACAAGTATTTTTCTTTGAAGTATCATTTGTTTTTTTTCTTTTGTTTTGCAGTATGTCAATTTCAGCATTATCATTCATGGTCTCCGTCGGCTTTAATGCAGCTGTAAGGTTAGTATTATTTCTAAATTAATATCAGATTATTAATCAAACGTTACTGAAATCATAAAATAAAATAAAATGAAATGTGACAGTGTGCGTACAAGTAATGAGCTTGGAGCAGGAAATCCGAAATCCGTGTTGTTCTCTACATGGACAGCGACTTTTGTTTCCTTCGTGATCTCCGTCGTGGAGGCACTTGTCGTGATTGCGTCACGTGATAACGTCAGCTACGTTTTCACGTCAGATGCTGACGTGGCTAAAGCCGTCTCTGATCTCTGTCCTTTTCTCGCCGTCACCATTATTCTTAACGGAATCCAACCTGTCTTGTCCGGTATACATGCAAATATTTTGGTAAAAACCGGCGTCTATTAACCTAACCGGACCACATAAATATCGGTTTGGTACGGTGTTGTTTGCAGGAGTGGCAGTGGGATGTGGATGGCAGACATACGTGGCATATGTGAATGTTGGTTGTTACTATATTGTTGGTATTCCCATTGGATGTATTCTCGGCTTCACTTTCAATTTTCAAGCCAAGGTTCGCTTCCAAATATTTTCTGTATAAGATATGCTTGGTTATTATCTATTTAATAAGAATTACTTGTATGTGAATTTGGTTACAGGGAATATGGACCGGGATGATTGGAGGTACCCTCATTCAAACACTCATCTTACTTTACGTCACATATCGAGCTGATTGGGATAAAGAGGTAATGTTACATGAAATTGAGTCACATCTTATTAATCAAGGTTTTACAATCATTTATCATTAATAGTTATATATGGTTTCACTGAATTATTAAGATTCTTATTTATACGATCATTCAGGTGGAAAAAGCAAGAAAACGACTGGATATGTGGGACGACAAATAGTCTTTCCAGAATTAGTAATGAATTTATATGAAGTACTTTCTTTTTAGAAAACAAGATCCTTTTTAAAAAGATTTTTTGTTTTCCATTAAACAAACTTTCACTAGATTTTTTTTTTCTTGGGAAAACTATTTTTGGCTAATTCTGATGGATTAGTCTCAATCTAGTAAAGGCTGTTTTTAAATGGATCTATGTATTCTTGTTTTTGAAGTAAGTAATGATTTATCATGAATGTTAATGTAACAGTTAACTAGCATATCAATGTAGCTTGGTTTTACAGTTTCCTTTACCCATGTTTAATAAATAATTTTTGTTTGGTTTGATTTGATTTCATATTCGGTTCAGTAAATTTAGTTCCGTTCACTAAAAACGTATAATATATCTACTTGGACATTTGTGATGGCAATCGAGAATCGCCTGTTCTGTTAGACCTAATAGACAAATGCGAGTTATAAGAGGAGCTCAAGACAAATTGTGAATTCTAGCTTTAAGATTTAAGAATAGAAATGAATGTCACAAATCTAATTAATGATCGTACAAACTAAATAAATTTACAATGTAAAACTTGTAAAGAAGCTATGATTAGTCAACGATCCCTACGCAAAAAATACCAACCGACCTTAACTAATCAAAGGAAAGGTTCAATGGACTAAGGCCATGTTCAGAATCGTACACTTTTTTTTTTTTTTTTGGTCCACACAATTGTACACCTTATTCCACTATTTCACACAACCATTTTGCCTTTCCCATGTCTCGTAAAGTCATAACGTAAGCTATTTTAAATGTCCCAAAATTAACTTCTAAAATATATAACCACATGAAAAAGTACGTCGAATCTAAATCACTAGCTTACATGCTAACTTTTTTAGTATCATATGTTGTAGTCAATAGTATCTTATTTACTATTCATATGACCTTAATATAGGACACAAAAGATTCTATCACAAATTCATAGGGTGAACTATTTAAATAAATTTGATGAGATGTGATTCCAGATCCTTATTTGTTAACTATTCGTCTGTGAATTTATAAACCCCACACGGCCACACGGCATCATGAATCATATAGAGTTTAGACTCCTAAGAAAAAATTGATACTACACCATTGTAGTTAACATTAAGGAGTATTTATTCAATATATGATATGGCATGATAAGAAAAACAAAATAACTCCTTTTCTAAGAAAATGTTCAAACATGAAGAGCAAAGAGAGGAGGAAGATTTGAGTCATTTCGAGGAGATAAACAAAGGAAATAACGTCTAAGAGATTTGATAATACGTGGGATATATAAGATCTCCATGCTTGTCCACCATTATATTACACAACTCTTTCTTAGCTTCCTCAGCTTCTTCCCTATCTTCATTCTTATCCCGACCACTCTAAATGACAACGTTTTGATCATGGTATTTCTCTTCTGTCGCTGTCTTAATGTCTCTGTGTCGGCTCGTTGGAGAATCTTGTGGATCAGAAACTGCGCTCTCTTATGGATTATCTCATTAGGATCTTCTTTCTCAATCTTTGAGTATTGTTTTGGATTCATTATCATTGCCATTTCTGTTTTTTGGAGCCAAAGTTTTCGTCTCTTGTGTGACGAGATTAAGGTAATACCATCAGAATCATTGTACATATATAGGCAACTAGGCATAGGTGGGGATTTTATATTGTTTTGACTATATGAGCATAACATGTGGACAATCCATTATTCGAGGTGGTTCACGCACATGTATTAGAATTTAGACATATCATACACTACATGTAATTAGGTAACTAATTAACAATGAAAAACAAACAAAATTTAACTATGATGATTCTCGTAAATTTCTTGTATGTAACTCTCATTATATTTCTTAAAAAAATGGGAAAAGTTTTGTTCTATACATGATATAAAATTGATTTTGGAATAAATTATAATTTTTTTTTTTAATTTGTGTTAAAAATGATTTCTGTTTTATTTTTTTTGAAGGACAGCAAAATGAATTAAGCAATGAAATTAAAAAAACCTTCATTGCCTTCTTCTTCTTCTTTGCTCTGCGCCGTCCCGCCTTGTCTCTCTCAAATTCGCATACCTTATCGACTCATTCCTCGCAGGTTAGCTTCTTGGACCAATACTGCTTTCGCATTCCTTCTGGGTTCGTTTCTTTACCTCAAAGTTTCCGCCTTTTCTATAGTTGTTGTCGATCTTAAAGTACAGAGATTGATAAACCCTAGTTATTATCCTTCAATGTCGAAACTTTTAACCTAGATTAGTCAGAACATCTTCGGAATTAGTCACTAGCACAGTTTACACAGCCTAAGAACCGGTCCTGAGTTTTCAGGATTCATGCATGTTCCTTAAACGCTTTAGATGCTGAGTTTTGTTACTGGTCTAAATCAATTTGATGGTTTCAATCTCTGTGAAAAGATTGATTTGTGAATGTTGTTTAATGGTTTGTTTCTGCTCGCTTAACTTTTTGGATTCTTCATTTTTTGTTGTGTCAGGGTAAGGGTTTCATCATCCACTTTCGCCAATGCAAAGCTTATAACATTGAGAAACAGCTCTGTTAATTTGTACATGGCCGGTACTGATCACCGCCGCTCTCGCCACCATGACGAAAGCCCTTCAAAACCTAACAAGAAGCAGAAGGGAAGCCGCAATCCAGAAAAGAGTCTCCTTATCAATCTTCATTCTTGTTCCAAGAGAAAGGACCTCTCAGCTGCGTTGGCTCTTTATGATGCAGCTATCACTTCCAGTGACATCCGCCTCAACCAGCAACACTTCCAATCCCTTCTTTATCTCTGCTCCGCGTTCATTAGTGACCCATCTCTTCAAACACTTGCCATTGACCGGGGCTTTCAAATTTTTGACCGTATGGTTAGTTCAGGGATAAGTCCCAATGAATCATCCGTCACTGCAGTGGCACGACTAGCTGCTGCCAAGGGTGACGGTGATTATGCTTTCAAGCTTGTCAAAGACATTGTCGTGGTTGGCGGTGTATCGGTCCCTCGTCTGAGAACTTATGCTCCGGCTTTGCTCTGTTTCTGTGAGAGTTTGGAGGCTGAGAAGGGTTATGAAGTGGAAGAGCACATGGATGCTTCAGGTATTATGTTGGAGGAGGCAGAGATCTCTGCTTTGCTGAAGGTAAGCGCTGCCACGGGCCGAGAAAACAAGGTTTATAGATATTTGCATAAATTAAGAGAATGTATTGGCTGTGTTAGTGAAGAAACTTCAAAAACAATCGAAGAATGGTTTTATGGAGTGAAAGCTAGCGAAATTAGTGATAAGACGATTGGTTGTGATATTGAGCTGCTTAGAGCAGCTGTTTCGAAGAATGGGGGTGGGTGGCACGGTCTTGGTTGGGTTGGGGAAGGCAAATGGATTGTGAAGAAAGGTAATGTTAGCCCAGCCGGGAAATGTTTGAGCTGTGGTGAGCATTTGGCTTGTGTTGATACCAATGAGGTAGAGACTGAAAATTTTGTGAATTCTTTGGTGGCTTTGGCTATGGAGAGGAAGGCGAAGATGAATTCATGCGAGCCTATGGCGGATTTCAGCGAGTTTCAGGTTAGTCAGAATAATGGCTTTTTTTAAATCATGCGTCTAATATTGTTTGGAGCTTGTAACTCTGGGAGATAAGATCTTGCTTGAGATAAATATTCTGGTGAACTCAAGTTTATAAATCTTGCTTAGTTATTTTTGATAGTTATAATTTTATATAAAGAAATGTAATAATGGTTAGAGTTCTAGGGCAAAGGAGACTTCAATAGCTGTATTTGTTTTGCATTGATCGTTCAAACTCTGCATAGATTATTAATCGCTCTTAGCAAATATGACCATCAATTCGTAAACATTCTCTGCGTTCTGTATAGTTCTGAATGTGAAATTTTTAGCTATATAACAGACACTATCAAGAAAGAAGAGAAAATGCTATAATTTAGCTTCTGTTTTAAGATTGTCTTGGATGTAATGTAGGTATTTCTTATTCTTCATGGTTTAAATTTGATACTTGAAAAACGGTATTCTTATTCGAAGTCTGTATCTTGAATATTATCTATTTTACATTTAGATGTTAATCTTTTTTTTTTTTGAACTATTTGACAGGAGTGGCTTGAAAAGCATGGAGACTATGAAGCTATACTAGATGGAGCAAATATTGGGCTTTACCAACAAAATTTTGCAGATGGTGGTTTCAGTCTACCACAGGTTCTCATTGATTTTTATTCCTTTGCATTTCTGATACATTCCTGCAAATACTGACACAATGCAACATGTTGTAAAAGAGCAGCTTGAAGCTGTAGTGAAGGAACTTTACAATAAAAGTGGTAACAAAAAACAGCCGCTAGTTCTCTTGCACAAGAAGCGGGTCAATGCGCTTTTAGGAAACCCGAATCACCGGAATTTGGTGGAGGAATGGATTGATAACAATGTCCTTTACGCGACCCCACCAGGTTCCAACGATGATTGGTATGGACTGACTCTGACTTAAGCTTCCTTTACATTCCCACTAACATGGTTTGGTTTGCTTACTCAAATCTTGGTTCTTTATATAAATTTTGTTTCAGGTATTGGCTGTATGCGGCTGCTAAACTCAAGTGTTTGCTTGTGACTAATGATGAGATGAGAGATCACATTTTTGAACTATTAAGTAACAGTTTTTTCGAAAAATGGAAAGAAAGACATCAAGTCCGGTTTACCTTTGTGAAAGGCTGTCTCAAGCTTGAAATGCCACCTCCTTTTTCAGTTGTGATCCAGGTTTTTCACAAATCTTATATCAAATATGTGCTTCTGTTTCTTTTCTTTTGTTGAAATTTATACCTGAGTCTCTGTATATATTTTTTTCTTCTGTTTTACTCAGGAATCAGAGAAAGGATCATGGCACATTCCAATCAAGAGTCAAGACAATGAGGAATCTTCAAGAAGTTGGATGTGCATTACAAGGCAGAGTTTATAGATTTACTCAATTTGTCTAAGTCAGTATCATTTGAGCAGTCTTTGACGATTATGTTCAAAGAGCCAATTTTCCACCGTCCGATGTTAGAACTCAAATCAGTTTTTTTACCATTGATTAAAGTCTTTTTTTTTTTTTTATCTCCCTTTTGGTGGAGTTAAAGAACATGAAAAAGAATCATTACCTTTGTCTTTTTACTGAAGTAGAGATGTTTGTTAAGCTAAATGCCATATTAGATATACTATTTTTAAAATTTGTTTAAAAATCAAGCACCATAAGGTATATAAGTCAAAACCTAACGGTGCCATTTCAGGTGGTAATCGACCTGAGTAAGAACTGGTGTAAATTTGCTCTTTCCAAAGTTTCAATTCTCACATGAAACAGAGTTATTACTGTTGTTCGCAGTCCTGGTTGTTCGGTTAGTTGGCCATGGGCTTTGGCTTTGGTGTTTCTCATGAGTGAGCTTGTACCCAACTTGTCCACTGATCCTTCCAAAGAGATGTTAAATCATGCCCACTACAAGAAAACACCCCAATTCCGATATAGTATTACTTCATAGTATCACTTTACTTACTAACATAGTTTTATTACTTCTCATTAGCTCCTTCGAATTCTTTTATGTCATTAGTTATTGGTCTAGATTTCTCAGAAAAAGGATGCATTTATTGTAAAACATGTTTTTTTGGTTGAATGAATTTCACATTCAAAGAAAAAATAATAATAAAAAGAAGTAATACTATATCAAACTTTTAAAGAAAATTAAATAGTATTTGTTTAACGGTTGAAATGAAATATTAAAACTTATGAAAGTAAATAATGATGATTGTGTTAATAAGAAAGTTCTATTTTAAGTCAGTTTTTCGACTAAACGACTAACTTGTGACATTTCCAAAGTAACAAATTTTGTTTTTTAAGGTTAAATCATAAAACAAAATTTATAACGAAACGGTTGAAAGTAACAAATTCAAACTATTGAAAGTAAATAATGAATGTAGTAAAATATATTTAACTATTGAAACTAAATAATGGTGCTAAATTGATGGAAACGCCAAATTTAAGTAAATTCTCCGACTAAACGACTAAATTGTGATATTTCCAAAGCAAGTATTTTGTTCTTTTTTTGGTTAAATCACAAAACATAATTTATAACGAAATGGTTGAACGTAACAAATTCAAACTACTGAAAATAAATAATGAATATAGTAATACATTAAAACTATTGAAACTATATAATGGTGCTACATTAATGGACACACCAAATTTAAGTAAATTCTCCAACTAAACGACTAAATTGTGAAATTTCCAAAGCAAGTATTTTGTTTTGGTAAAATCGTAAAAAAAATTTATAATGAAATGGTTAAGTGTAACAAATTCAAACTATTAAAAGTAGGTAATGAATGTAGTATAATACATTTAAACTATTGAAACTAAATAATGGTGCTACATTAATGGAAACGCCAAATTTAAGTCAATTCTCCGACTAAACGACTAAATTGTGACATTTTCAAAGAAATATTTTGTTTTTGGTAAAATCGTAAAATGACCGTTGAATCAATATTCCTGGCCGTCCCATATTCTTAGCACTATTTTTATAGTTTATCTGTTCAATAATGGTTTTACCATCCTGTTAATATGTAAACTTATTATGGCATTTCATACAAAAATAAATTTCAATATTAGGAACAAAATTAATAAAAATGAGACTTTTGGTATTGAATATACATACAAACAAAAATAAAATTATAGCAATATCTTCAATGCTTGAGAAAAAGCCCATTAATAGCCCATATTAGGCTAGTAATCAACTTGAGAAGGTACGAAAAGAAGACGCCAGAGAGAAACCGCAAGAAAGCAAAAACTTAAACAACGTAGCCGAAGAAAGATTATAAATACACACTCTCTCTCACACACATGTTCACGCTTCTGAGAAATTTCTGAGTTTTCGAAGAACCATTTCGTGTGGTTTTGCGTCGCGTGGTCGAGAGGTAAACTAATATTTAATCGTGTTTTTTTTTTTCGGATAACATTAGACTCAAGTGTTTTTCTCTAGAAATTTTAATATATGATCATTTCTAGGTCTTGAGAATTCTGAATCCACGTTTTAGATTTTATTAGATTCAGGTTTCTTAAAATTATATTTCGATTTTATTCTGGTGCTTTCTCTTGTTTAATCAATACAGAAGTTTGATCCGTTTTTTCCTCCGTTTATGGATTTAAATCTTTACTTAATTGTTATTTAGACACTAGGTTTTGATAAATCTAGGGTAAAAAATTATGTGTGTTGTCGAGGACTGATTATTTTTAATATGATGAGATTGATTTTTTTTTTCTTTTTCATATTCCTATATCATTATTATTCTGAATTGATTCTCCATGAGAATCTCTCTATTCATAATTGGTTTTTTTTTTTTTGAAAAAAAAACACTTCATTCATACTTAGGTTGCTATTATGTTCTGCTTTGGAAATCAGTTTCATAATTTCAATTTTTCCGTTTGGTGTCTCTGTTTAAACTTGGTTTCTGTGTCTATGATAATTTCTAATTCATATTAAAATAATCATTAGATAGGATTAGTGTGAAATCATAAAATGTTTTTGTACTAATGTAACAATCTTCATTTGTGCTTGTGCAAAGAACTTTATATTTTGTCTGTTCATTTATTACTTATGAGCTATTCAATGCAATTAAATTATGATAGTTTAAAACTTAACAAAATCACATTTCTTGGTTATTAATTTATGTAGAACGATGAACCAGCAGAATCAAGACACCATGAACTCACCTCCTTCTGCTGCTAATGATGGCTTGGCTAAGCGAAAAAGAGGCCGACCGCGCAAAGATGAAAACTCAACTCCAAAACCGGACACCAATTTGGTAGGTAAGGTGGTTACTGGTGTAGTCGAAGGATCTTTCGACGCAGGCTATCTCCTTAATGTTAAGGTTAAAGACAGTGACACCAAACTCAGAGGTCTCGTGTTCATACCGGGCAGAGTCAATCCGATTACTCCAGAAAATGATGTGGCTCCTCTTGTTAAAATATACGAAAGAGAAGATATCAAGAACAACCAAGCTGATCATTCTTTCCCTACTGATCAACCAATGAAAGATGCTGCTGTCACTACTGACTTGGATATTTCTGAATCCACTCGAGCTTTGGTCCTAGTGCCACAAGCTAGCAATGGCCAACCGGAAGAAGCTACGATGGAGAAAGATGGAGTCATTGCACAACATGCTGACACTCGGTTAGTGGAGTTTTTTCCAACTCCAGGGACAATGATGATGACGACTGCTCAACCGAATTTTGTCTTGGTACCGAAAGAGACAGAACAAGGGAAATCTCTTGGTGAAACTCGTGGATTCGATCTTATGGCCAAGGAACCGGTTTGTCAAGGAGAGAAAGTGCCAGAGCAGCTTCAGCTAGAGCTTGGAAACAAGACAACATTGAGTGGAGACAACAACATGTTGCGAACTTGTGTGTCGAAGAGTGGCTTTATTGCGAACTTGCTTGAAGGAGAGGAGAAGAAGGTTGATAGCAACATGGAAGAAGAAGTTACTCCATCAGTGCAGTAGTTAAAACTCTATTCGGTTGTTTTGGGGAATATGTAACAGACCCCATTATATTTTGTGTTGTCTTCTCTTTCTGTTCTTATTTTACAGACCACAGTGCTGTGTGTTTATGATACCATTTGTTTTTCTGGTTTTGCTAACATTTGTTTTTAATCTCTTCTTCTTAAAGCTGGCAACTATTAAGGCTATATTAATAGAGTTGATTGATTTAGAGTTTGAATTACATAGACTAAGGGGATAAGCATACCATAACAACTTAGCCACATAAATTGTTACCACTCAATATTAATTTGCACCGTGGAAGCCAAACATTTTCAAGACTATTGATAGAAAAATACATAACTATCAAGTTTTTATGCAAATTATATATTAATTTAATATTTTCTGATTATTTATATATGCAGTCTTATTCATGATTGATTGAAATTTTTAAAAGTGGATATTTCTTAATTTGTGTGCTTTTAACTAAAACGTCTTATATTTTGAAACGGAGAGAGTACATTTTTACTTTTGTAATAGTTTTTGAAAATAATTTACTGGATACTTTTGGTTTGAGCTTCACACTCTTGTTGCTCATGATTGAATAGATTCTTTGCACCTGAAACAGAAAGAGTATGATCAAACACAACTCTGGTTTAACATGAGTATGAGAAAGACGATGTTGGTGATCTCTCAAGAGCATATCAATGACCAGCCTAAAATTAGCTGTTTTATTGGATGTATAACAGATAATGAAGTCAGTCAACAAAAAGATTGGGACAAAATCCAAGGAACATGCTTCAAGCAAAAGGAGGTCGGTACCAAATTAAACTCAAGAATCTGCTCAATGGCATGTAACAATGAGTGCAAGATGTTCGCCGATATTACCAGACCTGCTTCACACATATTTTCAACTACATCAAGAGCAGTGGCCACCGACAACACGGAGGGTTATTTGAAGTCAACTATGGAGACAGGAGAGTACCGGAAATGAAAGTTGAAAATGACAGAAGCGTATAAATACCTCATTTGAGCCACAAAGATAACTAACAAGATTCTCATACGATGTAGATGAAGGCACGATATCTAGTTCTTCATGCAACTTGTTAAACTTCAAAATGGCATCCTCTACCTTTATTCACCAAAATATGTAAGAACATGGACATATAGGAGAAAGAAGCTTTAACAACTTAGCGCTACTTGAGAGATGTGAGTGACTTCAATCTCAGTTACTGTAAATGGAGTCGGCTTTCATTTACCATATAATAATAATGATAAGTTAAGTAGTTACTCACTTTAATTTGTACATTAAAAAAATGGCATATGATTCAGAACAAATATTTGCTTGTTTCAAGGACATGGGCCAAGTTTGCATGTTGGGATCTAACAATCTCAAGACCTATAGGATTGTAAATTAAATATCATGTAAACATTTTTGAGAGACATTAATGGATATATCATATATCATTTATAATTATGGGGGAGAAAAGAACAATTGCCAATGTATATGTGGTCGACACTAAATTAAGAAATTAAATACCAAAAGGTCAGAAGATAGATAATCTATACTATGAAAGTTGGCTTACTTTCTCCAGTTTTACGACACATCAGCATGGGAGAGAATGAAGATGCAGTTATTTTGGTGTTCTGTACTAGTCGTCGAAGTAGTACAGGAAGTAGTACAAGAAGTGATTTAAGAAGATGAGAAGCATAGTTGCTGATGAGGAGCTCGAGTACTTGGATGTTGGAGCGTTTGTTAAGTCAAGGAAAAGGAAAATATCTTTGTTTGAAGACAAAAGGAATCATGTAAGCAAAGAGGAAGTTTGCTTGAAGTGAAAAGGAAATTGGCAAAAAGGAAAATCTTTTCCTTATGAGATTAAGAAACTTTCTCTTATGTGTGATTGGAAGAACTTGAGGTGCAAGTTTCTGTTTATTATATAAGGGGGACGTGACCTTATGAGAATGTGGATTGACAAGAGTAAAAATCCCAAAGAGATTTGATGTGAGAGATTGTGTGTGTGATCGTGTGCGACGTAGTTTCGCGGGTTTGTGCTTGTGTGATCAAGCTTATTTGTGTGTTGGTGTTGACGGTTCATATTGGAGAATCTTGGTGATCGTTGGGTTCGTTGGCGTGACGGTTCATGTGTGGTGGTTGTTCCAAAGACTTGGAGAATTGAAGTCTAGGCTCAAGGGGAGTTTAGCTCAGGGTTAGGTTATCTTGATTAAATCTAGGCTCAGGAGAGTTTAGTTAAGGGTAGAGATTTATCCTTAAGATTTCATGTTAATAGAACGGAGCGGTGAATCAAGAGGGTTGTGCTTGGTTTACGCGTTTGCGAATAGGCTGTATTTGCTTTCTTGTTCTAGTGAAATCGAAATCTGGACGTGGTCCCGTGGAGTAGGAAAAACCGAACCTCGGTAACAAATTTCTTGTCTCGTTTACTTTCCACTATTTATCGTACCTCATCCTCACTTACATTTGGTATCAGAGCGGGTTCTCGATAGAGATTTAGTCTTGTTTCGGGTGGATCAGGATGAGGTTCAGGAGATCATTCAGGAGATCGTTCAGGAGATCATTCAGGAGATCGTTCAAGAGATCATTCAGGAGATCGTTCAGGAGATCGTTCAGGAAGTAAAACAGAGCTAAGAATCATGCGTTATGGATTCATACAACTCAGGAATACTTGGTCCATGAGAGTTAATCATTACGGAAATGCTGCAATGGGGAATCATCCTTGGTTTCGATGGAGGCGATCCTTGAATTGGTTTTTGACCATGATGTGACTCAAGTAAGGGGAGATTGGTGTTGCTAGGTTGTTTTGTTACTGGTGATGAAGCCATTGAAGCTAGAATTGTTGAGTTCACATACATAGTCAAAAAGGGGGAGATTGAAGATGCAGTTATTTTGGTGTTCTGTACTAGTCGTCGAAGTAGTACAGGAAGTAGTACAAGAAGTGATTTAAGAAGATGAGAAGCATAGTTGCTGATGAGGAGCTCGAGTACTTGGATGTTGGAGCGTTTGTTAAGTCAAGGAAAAGGAAAATATCTTTGTTTGAAGACAAAAGGAATCATGTAAGCAAAGAGAAAGTTTGCTTGAAGTGAAAAGGAAATTGGCAAAAAGGAAAATCTTTTCCTTATGAGATTAAGAAACTTTCTCTTATGTGTGATTGGAAGAACTTGAGGTGCAAGTTTCTGTTTATTATATAAGGGGGACGTGACCTTATGAGAATGTGGATTGACAAGAGTAAAAATCCCAAAGAGATTTGATGTGAGAGATTGTGTGTGTGATCGTGTGCGACGTAGTTTCGCGGGTTTGTGCTTGTGTGATCAAGCTTATTTGTGTGTTGGTGTTGACGGTTCATATTGGAGAATCTTGGTGATCGTTGGGTTCGTTGGCGTGACGGTTCATGTGTGGTGGTTGTTCCAAAGACTTGGAGAATTGAAGTCTAGGCTCAAGGGGAGTTTAGCTCAGGGTTAGGTTATCTTGATTAAATCTAGGCTCAGGAGAGTTTAGTTAAGGGTAGAGATTTATCCTTAAGATTTCATGTTAATAGAACGGAGCAGTGAATCAAAAGGGTTGTGCTTGATTTACGCGTTTGCGAATAGGCTGTATTTGCTTTCTTGTTCTAGTGAAATCGAAATCTGGACGTGGTCCCGGGGAGTAGGAAAAACCAAACTTCGTTAACAAATTTCTTGTCTCGTTTACTTTCCGCTATTTATCGTACATCATCCGCACTTACAGAGAATGCCACGTGTTCGAGAAAAATTATTCGCTTCATCTTCTTCTTCACCCTTTTCGTCTTACAGTATGTTACCTCTAATTAGCTGCAATTATAACCACCAGACGCCGATAAACAAGTGAAGCAAAATTCAAGAAAACTTAGCATTCTCAATAAAATCAAACCTAGCCGTTTTTCATGTAAGATGGAGTCACATAAGCATCTGACCACCCGGCGATTTCGAATTAATCATCAAATCCGGCTCCAGATTTCAACAGCTTCGGAATCGATTCAGGTAAATCACATAAGCATCTGACCATTGTTTAATGATGATGATGTTTCAAAAGTCATCGTTACCTCAAAATCAGCTTCGTATCCTTCTTCTCCCGATTGTTCTTCATCACATCCAAGGCAAACGATTGCATTTGCCCACTTTTACCAATTAGATTTGAGTGGTCTCGCCTTAAATTGGGATCAAATTTCAAAAAAGAGGATACATTAGTTTTGATCCCTCAAAGATTGTCCAAGTATATAGTAAATTAGTAACTACAAAATCAAGCCCTTAAGGAGTGTATGTTAGCCCAATCGTTATCACTCAGTTTTTTTCTGTCTTCGTCTTCAATTTTGCCCGTTTGATAAGTAAGTAATTTGTGTGCCTTGATTTTGGGAAAAACGGTCTATTTCCCCCTGAGAACTATCGCATCATAACAGATGGAGCCCAAACTTTAACCCCGATCCTAATGTCCCTGAAATGAAAGTTCAATACCTATTTCCCCCCGAATCAAAAGTTCAACATCTAAATGTCCCCGTGTCTGGGTTTCGTTGGTTTGGTGCGTAAACCCGAGACCAAACAAGATTTTTGGTCGTAACTTAACCAAAAAAAAACCGATTCCATATTATAACCCGACCCAATGCTATTAAACCCCAAACTTCGAAATCCCCAAATCATTTTCCCCAATTTCAAGAACCCTAAATTCAAAATCGACTTCAAACCCAGAATTCGAGTTGCAAGATGAGCAACATTTCATTGAGTTCGACGGGATCTACAGGTCCTCGTGGAAGAGGCAGAGTCGTCGGGGTGCCAAAGAGATGTTGGTGCGGAGAAGATATTGTAGCACTAATTTCAAAATCCGATACCAATCCTTGCCGGAGATACTATCGTTGTTGTGTTGCTGCAAAACATAGGGTAATTTCATGCCTCTGTTTCAACTGTTTTGTATTGTATCTTTTTTTAGATTCTGCTAATGGACCAATGATTGTTAATTTGTAGCTTAGGAATGATGAACACACATTCAAATGGGTTGATGAAGCCTTGTTGAATGAGATAGATACATTGAAAGAAAAGGTAGGTGAACTTGAGCAGGAGCTAAAAGAGCTTAAAACACAGACTTTGGAGGTAGAAAGGATCGTTTGCGAGAAGATCCAAATGAAGATAGAGAAGGAGATATTTGAGAAGGTGGAAGATGCTTTGTCTGAAGCCAAAGGAAGCAGTAAGAAGATGATGATTGTCGTAGTGATAGGGTGTATGATCATGATTGGATTCAACAAATTAGTCGGATGAACCATTGAAAACATCATTGAATGTTTGTGTTTTGTGTTTGGTGAATGTTTGTGTTTTGGTTCTAGCTTTAGATTTATTATTAAGACAATGGTGTTTGTAGTTTGGGGTTTGGATTTATGATCAAGACATTATGTACTAAGAGAATGGTGTTTGTTTTGTATTAGGAGAATGATGTTTGTTTTGGATAAATGGGTTGGTTTGGTCATGATGTGTTTTTCAGAAATGGTCATAACAGACAACCAAACATTCAAAACAAAACAAGAGAAACAAACATTCTTTAAACCATTCTTTAAATCATTCAAAAGGTTTACAAAACAAAGAAACAATCATCCATCCGAAACATTCAAAAGGTTTACAAAACAGAGGGATACACAAGTCATATGTGATCGAAAATTAGAATGAGACAACCACATTAGTGCCCTACATCTACTTAGCTACTACTTGATTAAGCTTGAGTGAGTGAACCTTGACTTGGTTCAGGTTGAGAAGGCTGCAAAACAGATTGAGAAGCCTGTAAGACATAAATGAATGTTAGTAGAAGCAACATATGTCTTAAACTTAAATGAAATTGGATCAAAACATAAAACAAACCTTAGCTTTCTTCTGGCATCCCCTACAATTGTGATCAGCTATCCCACAAATGCCACAATGCATGATCCGTTTCTTGTTCTTTGCTGCCTTCTTAGTTGGAGACTCATTGACACCCTTCTTCCTCTTCTTATCCTCTTTTGTCATCTTCTTCTCTCCTTCTGGTGGTTGTGAATTAAAGACAGCAGGAGCATTAGTCTCAGGCCAGAACTTAGGACCTCTCTGTGGACACAAACCATCAGTGTAGTTCCTTTTCCAGGTTGATGTCCTGAACCAATGACACACATAGTCCTCTGGTGCAAGCTTCTTGTCCAAGATCACTCCATACGCATGCTCACACGGGATGCCACAGATCTGCCACTTCTGGCATGTACATGTGTAGCTTTTCAAGCACACACGATGAGAATCAATACCATGCCTGACTTCATACATCCCATTGGTGCTTGTAGTCACTTTTGCCAAAGAAGCAAACTTGTGTTCTTTTGAGAGAAATAATGCAACATAAGGAGTGCAGCTCCCTGCAAAACAAAAAGAAAAGCTTTAGATATCTCAAAACAGATTCAAATTCATCCTCACCATATCACAAAAAATAAACAGAGCATTACCTGTGTAAGTATGAGATTCCACAGACCTCTTTGCAATCCGCACCATAGCAAGTCGTCTTATAGTCTCTAACATAGCCATAAATGGCTTCTCTCTTGCCTTGTTCAGAGAACCATTGAAAGACTCAGTGAAATTGTTGTCCACATCCTCACAGTAGCTGCCTCTTTTCTGGAATGCCCTGCACCAACTCATTGGATTTGTCTTCATGATGTCATTGAAGACAACTGTGTCATAGCAGAAGATCCTCTCTAGTTTCTGCTTATAATCTTTCTCATTATAAGCCCAAGCTAAATCCCATAGCAGTGGCTTCATGCGGCTTTTACTTCCATGATTCTTTTTCAAGTTACCATATATGTGTTGAACACACATCCTATGCTCTATGTTTGGCAACTCAAGATGAACACCTTTGATCAAACCCTGAAATCAATAACAAACCAATATATCAGTACTACAGAATTTAAAGGAAAAAAAAAAAAGAAAACAGAAGGGACAAAAGAAGATACCTTCTGCCTATCTGAAAGCATTATGTAGCCTTCACCATCACCTAATCCCAAATCTTCCTTCAAATTCTTCACAAACCAAACCCAATTCTCTGTATTCTCTACTTTAACTACTCCCCATGCCACAGGATAGATGCGATTATTAGCATCCCTACCCAATGCTACCAACAACTGTCCCTTTACCTTGTTCTTTAAAAAGCAGCCATCAATGCCTAGAAGAGGCCTACAGCTCTCCTTCCAAGTCTTTCTTAGATTATCAAAACAGACATAAAACCTATTGAACATGTCTTTACCTTCCTCATTGGTCAGACAATCAACTTCTACATGTGAATCCGGATTAGAATCAAGTATTTCAGCAGCATAATCTCTTAATCTCGCAAACTGATCATCATACTCCTTCTCAATCCATTGCCTTGCCTTCTTTCGCGCAGCCTGACATTGATTCCTAGTCACACTGATCTTCCACTGTTCCTTTATAAGTTCTTCAATCTTAGCTGGCAAGTAGAATTCTGGATTATCCCTAATCTTATCAACGAACAGCCTAGCTATATGTGGCACCTTAAACATCTCACACTCTCCATTAGGGATGCAGC